CCAAATCCTATTAACCCCTTTGCTACAGATATAATGAATTCATCCACAATATTATTGAAATACCTAGTACCTATGTGTAGGTATTAGTAGAATAGCAGTAGTCTTTTACTAAGTCATATACAATTATATAATTAAAAAAGTTTCCGAGGGGTAGCTGTGTTAGTCTGTAACTTTAAAAACAATTAGCCCTGTGATACCTTAGGGCTTGTCTACACTATGTGGAAGATCAACGCTGCCACAATTAATCTTCCAGTGTTAGTGAGTGTAGTGAAGACACGCTAATTCGAACTGAGAGAACACTCCCCCCCCATGCCCCTTGTCAGTGCCAGTACTCCTACTACTCACAAGGAGTAAGGGAAGCTAATGGGAGCATTTGCTCCCGTTGACCTCCCACTATGTGGATGGTAATTTAAGATTTGTCGACTCGAGCTCTGTAATTAACATAGCTGGAGTTGCATATCTTGCCCTTTAGTGTAGGTGTGCCCTTTGATCTTAGCACTTACAGCAACATTATAAAATCCACTTCCTTGACTTGTATAGCATTTGGAGTAAAGTATTCTGTCACGAGTAATAGAGTTTCACAAATGCATCATAATAAGGTTTTTAAATGTAATAATCTCAGTTGAATATGTAACTATTCAAGCAACCTGCTATACTAACATCGGGAAGAGGAAAATAACTTCCCAGAGACTTCAAGAGGAAAAAAAACAGGTCACATACTTCTGGTTATATTTTTTTTTCAGATGACCCATGTTACAAACAAGAGCCATATCCCTTCCTCACAAAGTCGGTTAATTGGATTTGGCCCCAAGCTCTCAACACACCCTTGAATACAGTTCTGATTTGCTCCTTGCTGCCTAATGCTGTTATTGGACTTGAAGCACAACTGGGGAACAGCTGGAGCCAGGGCTGCCAATAGCAACACCCTAATGCTTGGGACTTGGTTTGAAGAGGGTGTGAAGAACAACCAGAGCTAGCATCACATCTGGCACAGAAGGTCTCCTGTGCCAAGCATGTTGACTGGCCCTCATTTGCCTTGTGGACCATTGTGTGCCAATGAATTTGGTTTAAAAGATACATTCTTGTCTTGTGAGGCCAATGGTGAAAAATATACTCTACCAAGAAAACAAATTGAGATTTCTGTTTGTTTAGAGTTGGATTACAAGGGTTGGATAACAAACATCTGTTTTAAATTGCTATTCAAAATGGTCCCCTTGTGACTAGGATACCTACCTACCTGGAACATCATCACTGTGAGTATGATTCTTCTTTCAGCTATAGCAGTCCAACTGGTTTCAGAGCACAGTAGTTACCCTATGGTTACATGTAAATGTATACATTTAGGGTGCGTCTAAACTACATGGCTCCATTGATGGAGCCATGTAGATTAGGTTGATTGGCAAAGGGAAATGAAGCCGCGATTTAAATAATCGCAGCTTCATTTAAATTTAAATGGCTGCCGCGCTGAGCCGACAAACAGCGCGCTGAGCCAACAAACAGCTGATCAGCTGTGTGTCGGCTCAGCGCGCTAGTCTGGACACTCCCGCACCGACCTGAAAGCCCTTTATCAACCTTCCTGTTATGCCTCGTAGGATGGGGTTTACCGGGGAGGTCGATAAAGGGCTTTCATGTCAGCAGGGGAGCGTCCAGACTTCCCCGATCTGCCGACCAACAGCTGATAGGCAGAGCGGGGCAGCCATTTAAATTTAAATGAAGCCGTGATTATTTAAATCGCGGCTTCATTTCCCTTTGCCGAACAAACAAATCTACATGGCTCCGTCGATGGAGCCATCTAGTCTAGACGTACCCTTAGGGACAAAAATATAGGCCATATTTACACTAAACTATCTGTGGAACAGTGACTCTGACAAGGAATTTGGAGGAGTGAGTTGATGATCAGCTCACCATGATGCGGCCCACCAAGCCACCAGATCTGGCCTGTGGATTTTGTGGGGAGCCCCAGGCAGGCTCCCTGCTTGCCTCGCCCCACCAGGGTTGGCCCACAACATTTTGGCACCTGAAGCGGGGAACTCAAATGATGCCCCCTCGCTTGGGCCAAAACTTTGAAAGATCTCAATTCTGCCTTCTTCCTGTTCTACTCCTCTCATGGGACTGCTCTGCTATCTACCCCAATAAAGGAGAACTAACAACTTAAAATGCCTTGTGCAAAAATTGTAAGTAACACTTCACTTTCAAACACCTGAACAGCAAATGTAACTAGTGTAATGTGCATCTAGCGCAGAGAGAATACATATGCACCAGCAGCAGACACAATTTTCTACACTGTGGGTCCTAGTGGTGCCCTCCCACAGTCTGGCACCTGAGGTGGCCGCCTCAGTTTGCCTCACGGTAAGGCCAGCCCTGCGCCCCATCCACATGCTGCTCAAACTCAGCTGCAGAACGGTTTTTCTTTAAAAACTGTGTATCCGGAGAGGAAGGGGCAAAGCTTTAGGAGCTGCTCCCGCCCCCAGCACAATCCCATTGGCCAGTTTTTGGTCAGAAACTGGTCAATGGGAGCTGCCTGTTTCAATAACAGGCAGCTATGAAGCACAAGGGATTCCAGAGCACATGGCTACTGGCTGGTAAGTTTTCTGGCTAGAGCTTGCCTCTGGCACTCCAGTCCCTCCCTTCCCCCACCCTTTGCCCCCCGCTCCTGTCCCTACGCCATATACCCAAATCCTCTGCCCCCCCTCCTGTACCCATATCCCCTCCCAGATCTGGCACCCTAATCCCCTGCCCCAGATCACTATCCCCTCCTTTCCTAGCTCACAACCCAAATCCCTGCACCCTCTCCTGTACCCCAATTCCTTGCCCTGGGTCGCTATCCAACCCCCTGTACTCCAGTCCAGTGCCCCAAGTCATAACTGACTCCTTCACACAAACTCTCTCCCTCACCCCAACCTCCCTTCTGCACCCAACCTCCATCCCAGACCCTGCACCTCCTCCATTAATATCATGGAAGAGTGCAGCCATCGACCACTTTCCAAATTCTTGGAGTGGCTCCCCATAAAAAATTATTGCCCACCCTTGCTATAAGGGCTAATGCAATCCTTGGATAGTGAGCAGAGGAATCTCAAGTAGGCTAAAAAGGTTATTTTACCTCTATTTAACACTACCGTGACTGCTATTGGAATACTGAGTCCAGCTCTGGTGTCCATAATTCAAGGAGGATGTTGCCTGGAGAACTCAGAATAGAGCCGTGAGAATTAAAAGATTAGAAAACATGCCTTATAGTTACAGTTAGTGATTTTAGTTTATTATCCATTTATTGTGTGATGATGTGATTAATTAATATGTTATAGTACATATATTCAATGTACACTAATTAGAATGTTTAGGATTATAAAAGTATAACATTGTGCAGTATTTAGAGTAACCATGTATTTGATTTAAGTAAGACAAGCTGAAAAGCAGCAACCTGCAAGTTGAGGCCTACAAGGTGTGGGAAACAAGAAATGCTAACACAAGTGACCAAAAAATAACCCAGTACTCTAAGACTATGGGAAAGGAGATACCAAGTGGCAATATGTGCAAAATTACCCAGAAGATTAATATTAAATCATAAAAACACTGTAAAGGCACATCTGTCTCTGACATGTGTCTTAACCACAGAATACGGGTTGTGCATCAGTGCTAATGAGCAGAAAGGGAAATTACACATAGAGATGCAAGTGACCATTCGAGTCACTACTTGGCTACTTGTTTTACCCCCCTTGCTGCCTCTGTATAAAAGGCCGCAAGAGAGAGGGGGAAACAGGAGCCAGTGCTGGGGAAGCCAGCTTAAAAGACAGTTCTCCCTAGTACCGTCTCCACAGTGCGAGGAAGGGGAGTAGAGGAAGCATAGGCACAGCGGTCTGGGACTGCTCAGTCTTGGCTCATGCCAGTTCCAGTCCACTGTGCTCCTGCATCTTAAATGTGGTAAGAGCCAGGTTCCCCAGCTCTTACTTCCTTTAAAATGCAGAGACACAGTGGTTCAGGACCTGGCGGGAGCTGGGACTGCTCGTGCCAGGTCCAGGACCTACCCCTGCTGTGGCTCTGCAATTTAAACGTAGTAGGAGTCAGGCTGCCTGTGTGCATGAGTCCTACTATATTTAAACTGCAGAGCTGCAGTGGGCTTCTTATCAAAATGTATCAAATACATGATTAGTCAGTTACCTACTTCTTAACATCCTTATTTCCACAACCTATAAAAAATTGAGTCCCTTGAGGTTTCCAGATGACACAAGCCAATTAGAAAAAAGAGAGCGGTGGCTTTTATGAACATTCACAAAATGTAGGTATAGATGAAAATCACTCTATGAAAAAGGAATGCCCAAAATGAGACAATTGAGCTTCCTATGAAAGATTCGAGCAGGAACTATCCCTCTAATGGTGATCATGCCAGGAGACACCCATCAGACTCTAACACTGCTGTAAAGGATGTGAGTATATTTATTTGTATGGGTCTCTATAGAATTTCTATATCCCTGGATTATCATAACTTTAATTGTAACTTTAATATAACCCGTCGGTCTAAATCTAATACTTGTAAATGTATGTGTGTTCCTGAAACACTCACTCTAAAGCAAGTAGCAGAGGTGACTGACACTCTGTTAAGTATGAGATGGTAGCCCCCCGGAGCCAAACCCATGGTGGTGTATAAACTTCACCTTAAATAAAATAAAAGGCTACATAGTTATAAATCAAGGAACTTAATCTCTTTATCTGAACGAAGAAAGTGACAGGACTACCTACACGGGGAATAACTATTTAATAATTAACATGAGCAGCAGCCATACCCAGTTAGACCAACGTACTATTTAGGTCAGTATCCTATGTGTTAATTGCAGCGGATTTCAAATGCTATTTGAAGGAATGAACAGGGCAGTTCTGAATGAGTCCTCCCAGTCAGCATCTGGCTGTCAGAGGCTTAGACATCGGTAGCATGATCATCTTGGCCAACAGCCAGTGATGAACCAATCCTCCATGAACTTATTTTATTCTTTTTTGAATCCCATTAGTGTTTGGGCCTTCAACAACCCCTGGCAAAGAGTTACAAGCTGGCTGTGCGTAAGTGGGCTCTTCAATCAAGCAGAGAAAGGTAAAATGTGGTCCAATTGATGGAAATTGAACCTAATCACATTCAGACTGGAAATAAAAGCAAAAACCTGTAACTGAGTAATTTTCCTTTGGAACAGTTTTCCAAGGTGGATTTTCCATCATGGAAGTTTTATGAAAACTATGTATTGTTAATATAGAAAAAAATACAGAAAGGTAAAATGACTTACAATCTGGATGTCACCAGATACCATACATTTAACAGTATGTCCAATAAAATTGCACAGTTATGCAACTTAACAACTTGTCAAAGCTGTAAGTCCAGACAATACAAAAATATGTCTCTGTGAGATTGTCAGAACATAGCTCAGAAGGGTGTGGGTAACCCCAATAGTAAAGACGCACACAAATAGGCAGTAAAGCACTGGTTCACATCGTGCAACCCATGGGCCATTTGCAGCTCATGCACACAGCTGTGGTCCATATGACATCCTCAGAGCTGTATATATAGTCCCTGGTTCTGGTGACCTCCATTATGCACCCAAGGGATGGAGCAGGATTATACTGGGAGGCTAACCCAATCTACTGCCTGTGCCAATGAGGCCAAATGGTGATTTTGAACATTTTAGCTGGAGCAGAACTGGCCCATACATGCCTACCCAAATGTGGAGTCATTCCTCCTGGCTGCTGTACAAATATACCCATAGAAGCAAGGCAATGCTTCTTACACTGGTGATATATATGAGTGAGAGTGAGGTGATGCATCCCACATTAGACCTAGAGAGCTGTCCAAAATAGCAAATAGATTGAGAACCACAGCAATAAAGGAAAGGAGAAAAAAAGAGGAGAGATCATGCAAAAGGAAGTCTTGCATTATTGGGCTATCTCTGCATTCTTTATCCAAGTGGGTCATGAGACAGAGTCCAATTTTTTAAAATAAAATACCGTATTCTCTTTTGCTGCTAACTCTAGTTAAAATACCACTGGCAATCTTTCAGTCAAAGGCTGGATATTCTTCTAAAAGATATGGTCTAGGAATTATTTTGGGGAAATTCTACGGCCTGAATTACCCAGTCAGACTAGATCAGGGCTACTCAACTTTGGAAGCCCTGGGGGCCACAATGATACTCATAGCACATGCTGAGAGCCACATGGTGAGGTTGCATATATATATGCAAATAGCTTCTTTCACATTAATGGGCATGAATACAAAGATTAAGGCAAGACTACACAACATGCAGGACCCATTTAAGTCAGTTCTGCTGATGTTAAATGCGATATTTACCCGATTTCCAAACATATGACAGCACTTTTAATGAGCAATGGCAGTCCCGGAATTTAACTAACAAAACACGTATCAACAGAAGACCATTATATTGACTAACTTTTTGTTTTGTCTCCCATCTGTGGGTCTCGTGTTGAGCCTTGTGTAAATACAAACTGTGCCGCGGGCTGCAATCCAATGGGCTGTGGACCACATGTGGCTCACGGGCCATGTGTTGAGTAGCCTTGAACTAGATGGTCATTTCAGACCTAGGAATCTATGACGTGTAACCATACAGGCAAACTTAAGCTTCCAACCTGTAATATAAAGGAAGGCAATGTCTTGTTGGTAATACTGATGAGCATGTTCCTGACTTGCACTGTAAACTGAATTTTATATAAAAGGATGAGTTTTTGTGACAATGGCTTGGCAATTGGGATGATGGCTTACTTATGAGAAGAGTGAAGTTACGTCCCTCCTAAGATGGATATGAATATTGAAGCAAAGCTGGCATTACAATTCATGATCACGTTTTCAATGACTGGAGGTTGGCGTGCCCATGAAATTACTCATGTATCCACCTGATCATCTGCTGTTTGAAGCTGGAGCTAATCAAGAGCAGCCCTCGACCCATGTCCCTTCTCACCGAGATGTGACCCCGCAGGACCGATGTAGGGTCCAAGCCTCCCCACAGGGGCTAGGCTCCCTGGATAGCTTTTGCCACAGCTCAGCTCTGATTCCAGCTATCAGCCTGGCCAAGCTGTGGGAGAATGAGTGGGAGCAGGAGTGAGGTCTTTGGGAAAAGAGGTGGAAGAGGGGAGAAGGTCCATCTCACCCCCCTATCAGGACATTACTAGCAGGGGATCTGATTATTATCAGCTCCCCTACCACCACCAATCTGTGCCTGCCCAAGGCTACTATGCCTATGGGTTGGGATGGCTGCTGCAAGCCCCCTCTGGTGCCCCCCATTATGCACCCAAGGGATGGAGCAGGATTATACTGGGAGCCTAACCCAATCCACTGCCTGTGCCAATGAGGCCACAGAGTGATTTTGAAAATTTTAGCATGAGCAGAACTGGCCCATACATGCCTACCCAAATGTAGAGTCATTCCTCCTGGCTGCTATACAGTACCAGCCTAATAATGTCCCAGGCTCAGCTATTCCCTCAGAAATAGTCACCCTCATGCTCTGAGAAGCAAAGTTCCAAATGGCTCTCCACCTAGCAGTAAATATTTTTCAAATTATAATCGAGAAACAAAGACAGGTAGCTACCATCCTGAGTTCAAGCGCCTCATGATGGGACTTGAATCTTTTTCAATCCGCAGTGCATGATTATTGGGCCCAGATGGATTAATTTCTCTAATGACACTACACTGGACACATTCATCACTATTAACTAAATATGCTTTGTAGCTTTCATTCAATCTAGCTGACTACTACAAACTCAATATCTCTTATCCCTTATGACTTTTCCCCAAGCAGCACTTGGTTTTTAAGCTGAACAATAAAAACCACTAGTTATTTATAGAGGGGAGGTGCTGAGACTGATCTCAGTATTTCTTCTTATGCTTAGAAGTATGCTTCATAGTGGAAGTGTAAGCTTCATCATTAGCTTAAAGATTGATTTTATTTCAGAAAGTTTTGAAATTGCAACATCTTAGAAAAGAAGTCATTTCATGAATTCAATGTACATCTTGAGTTGCTGAAAACATCCATTTGCTTGAAGGTTGCACCATAGCTCAGACATTTAATACTTACATTTTCCCCTAGAGTTCTTGATAAATCTGTAGTATCAGAAAATATTCCAGAATATCTATATGGCTTGCTTGATTTCTATTTTAGAAAACTAGTGATAAATAGTCAAAGTAAAAACAAAGTACTTAGGCAGTATAAATGTGAGGAACACATTTTTCTGATGAGAATGGATGAGATGAGTTTTTAAGGAAAAGTTCTAGTTAGAGCACTCAGCATGTAAAGGAGATGCAAATGTTTGTCTGAATGAATTAAAATGAGTCCAGTGTTACTTTACAAACTAACAATTTTATTATGGCATAAACTTTCATGAGTTGCAACTCACTTCATCAGATGCCTGAACTGAAAAAAAGTAAGAAACGGATAGTAGGGATATAGAGATGGGATTGTTACATCAGCACTAATTCAATCACGGTAGATATGGATAAGAAGGTGAAAATACCTAAAGTGGGAAAAAAATATTTTAATGAGCTAACCATTCCCAGTCCCTATTCAGACACATTCTGATGGAGTCAAATTTGCATATGAATTCCAGCTCAGCATTTTTACATTGCAGCCAGTATTTGAAGAATTTTGGGGTTTTGGGGGGGGAGGGGGTTGTTCATTTATTTTCTATTCTAGGGTTTTTTTTTTCTTGAGGGTGGAACTTTCAAATCTATAATTGTGTGTACAGGAAAGTTAAAATGTTCACGCACTGGTTTCTATATGTTAGCATTCCTGAGGTCTGATTTGTGTCCATGTATTCTATTGCATAGAGACAGTCCGGTTGTCCAATGTACATGGCAGAGGGGCATTGGTGGCACATGATGGCATATATCACATAAGTAGATGTGCAAGTGAATGAGCCTTTGATGGTATGACTGATGGTAAGGCTGCAACATGAAACTGCTGAGCTGGAATTTGTATGCCAATTTGACACCATCAGAATGGGTCTGAATAGGGAATGGGAATGGCTCACGAAAGCTTATGCCATACAACTGTGAGCCTTTAAGCTGCCACTGGACTCCTTGTTGGTTTTACTGAAACTGACTAACTTGGCTACCTCTGAAACCTGTCATCGCGAATGGATAAAGAATTTAAACACAGATTTACGTGATTAATGAAGTCCTTGTATTTGCCACCTCTCAGATATCTTATTGGTTCCCAGCAAGGCTACGTCTACACTGTGGTGCTATTTCGGGATACCAGAGGTTTCCTGAAATAGCTATCCCACATCTTAACAGTGTGCCCATTATTTTGAAATATAACGGGCTCGCTATTTCGACATCCCTGTAAACCTCATTACCTGAAGATTAAGGGATATCGCGGAATAGCGGGTTATTTTGAAATTTGATGCTGTATGAAATAAGCTACTTTGAAATTGACTCAAAATAGGGTCTGGCTCTTGGTGTTTAGTGTGCAATTGCTTAGAGAACAGCTGTGCTGGTTGGGCCTGATGGTCTTCCATTCTGCAGGGTCCAAACTACTGGCTGTTCAAAGCTGTCTGGATCCTAGATTAAGTTCAGCAGATGGCACTCAGGTAAAGCCAAGTTTCAACATGGAGCCTATGAAAACTTCAAAGCTGGGACCATACACTTGGCACTTAGTCTTTAGCATAGCTCAACTCCTTCTATAAAAGATTAAGCATAGGGTGGTTCAAAGCAAAAGGGCAAAGTAATAGGTCTACATATGAGGAGACCATCGTGGCAGGCAGTGATCATATTAAGACTTGGATTACTTGACATTTAATTGCAGAAGGCTGCTTTAGTGAAAGGCAGAAGATGCAACTGGTCCACTAGACTTTCAAAACATCTGGCCATCAGTTTGTGTTTTACTGTGAAAGCCAGAGTAGTGACAGAAAGATAAGTCTTTGCTTTGCCCCCATTTTAGCTACAGCAACGTAGTTACAGAAGCAAAAATATGGCTTTTTAGAAGGCCTGAGCCTTGAAACAAAGTTCATAGAACTATCAAAATGTCCCTTTCTTTACTACACAAGATTTCCTGTAATCACATGGGAGCTTATCACATTAAACACAATCAGTAAAGGAGGATAATCTCTGGAAACAAAAAGTACATGTGCCAGAAATGTTAAGTTTTTCCTTCCAACAACCATGGGTGGTCTCCCCAAGAGATTGGCGTTAGCTGGCAAACAACAACTTGTTCCATCTGTGAGTGTAAACTCTGCCTTGATCAGCCAGTAAGACTATTTTCTCTCTAGTTTTTCCCAGAAGTTCTTTCCACCTCAATAATTAGGGTGGAGGGAGGAGACTCAGACACAGAAATTAAAGTACAAATCCTTTAGCTTGGTCTTCCTAAGGATTATTTTCAGCAACATCTCAATGAATATAAGTAGAGTCTGAAATTAAGGTCATTTCTCTTTTCTCAGGCCATGTCTACTCTAAATGGAAGATCATTGCTCCAACGATCAATTTTCCAGATTTCTCCTTAGCGAGTATAGTTAAGACTTGCTAAATCGAACGGAGAGTACTCCCCTGCCAGCTGCTGATACCCCTGCTTATGCGAGGAGTAAAAGAAGCCAAAGGGAGTGTTTGTTCCTGTTGATCTCTCACTGCGGGAATCATGGGGAACATGAAACAAAGTAATTACCATATCTGGAGTTGTATATCTTCATTCAACGTTCCCTATGAGTGTAGACCTGGCCTCAGATACAACTGATTTTGCTATGGGATACTAACTCAGGAGTGTTTTTTTTTTTAATGTTAGCCATAGAGGCTGGCAAATCAAGGTTGTTGCTTTCTGCCTTCCTGGAAATGATTTTCTACTCTAATTCTCTTCTCCATGAACAAACATAGTGCAAAGGAGCAAACTAACAAAAAACAGATGACATAAGTATTTTGATTTTTAGTTCAGGATATTGCAGATGAGATGACTAGTTAACCTTTATTAACTATATATCCCTAGTTCTTCAGTATCTCAACTGCACAATATTGATTATCATTCTCAGTTGCTATGAAGTGCTAGTAGAGGTCATTGTTTGTCGAAGGGCAGATTATGACTTTATAGCTGGATGACTAATGTGATTCAGTTATTGGCAGACATTCAGAAAATGGAAGGATTTTGATAAGCATTCAGTAGATGTCTCCTTCCAGATGGCCCTATGACTAAGAGTTTGTCCTAAAAACTGTTGTGTTTATGTAATGACTGAGATCTTTAAACTTGTCCTATTTTTAATAGCCTAAAAATACACCTGATTGCATATCTTCTGTATCTGAGCATCAAGTTCCTCATATGCCAACATCAACTGAATACTATCACCCCTCAAGGTCACCAGGAGCACATTAAAAACACAATGCAAAGAAAAGTCAAGAACAGTGATAGCTGTGCATCTTGGCAGGATCAGTCATTGTTAATGACCGAGGCAGAGCTAAACCTGCTTTTCTATAATAAACTGAGAACTCCTGTGGCTTCCCCCAGCCAGAAGAGTCAAATTGTTACTGATGGTTGAGCTTCAGAGAAGTAAGTAGTAGGATGTAAAATGCCTAAAACACTATGTGCCTGCTGCTCCAGTGACAGGATGAATTGTTGGTTTCAGGAAACATTTCTCAGTTACCATTTATCCCCCAGAATTTGCATAAATGTAACACTTAGGGGAATATTCCAGTGGCAGTAACAAGTGGATCTTGCTCCAGATCATCACTAGAAAAGATCAGCTGATACAACTACACAATAGGAAACTCTTCTAGGGCATGTCTACACAGCAGAGCTAATGTCGAATTAAGCTTATGCAACTTCAGCTACAACTTCAATCAATTGCGTAGCTGAAGTCGAAATAGCTTAATTTGGCTTTTTGGCGCTGTCTACACAGTAGAAAGTCAAAGGAAGAACTCTCTTCCTTTGATTTCCCTTATTCCTCATGAAATTAGGGTTACCATGTGTCAGAGTAAGAAGTCCTCCAGCTCGACGTAAATTTGAAATAAAGGTTTGGGCTATGTCTACACTGCAGGCTTCTTGCACAAGAGTGTGCCCACATTGCCATGTGCTTTTGTGCAAGAGATGTGCTTTTGTGCAAGAGCATCCATGGCAGTGTGGACACTCTCTTGCACAAGAAAGTTCTGATGGACATTTTAGCCATAGGGGTTTCTTGCACAAGAGACCCCTGTTGCCTGTCCACACATGCCTTTTTGTGCAAGAGCTCTTGTGCAAAAAGGCTTATTCATTGTGGGGAGAGGAATAACTCTTGTGCCAAAAACACTGTCTTCTGACGATATACTGTACTTTTTCTTGCTCAAGAATGGGCTTGTAGTGTGGATGCTCTGCAAGTTTTTGCACAAAAATGGCTGTTTTTGCGCAAAAACTCTGCAGTGTAGACACACACTATGTTATTTCGGAATAACATCAGTTATTCTGAAATAATGCTGTTGTGTAGACATACCCCTAGTGTAGGAACATTGTACCAGCGTAAATGCATGCGCTGGTAACTTCATACTCATTTCCCAAGCAAAATAAGTTACAGCCCAAAAAAAAAAAATTTTTGCATAGTGGTGTAACTGAACATATGTTATTGCTTTTGCTGGTATAGAAATGTTGTAAAAAGTCCAATAAATAAAATTGCCTGCTAACTGACATTACTATGTTGGTTTTTAGAGTAGACTTGGCTTAAAGAATATGCGGATTGTGTGGGTTACTCACATACCACCTTGGAACAAAACACAAAGCTGTTTAATTCTGTTTCAGATTAATGTTTAGGAATTTAAAATCAACTTGGGTCACAGATATCATCAGTGATGTTGACAGAAATGCTTCAAGCCAGCCTGCAGTTGTGGTGAATAATGATCAGCCAGATGAACCTCACCTTTGGAACCATTCTCCAATGACTACTCAGGCAAGGACTCCGAGGGCACGTCTGCCCTAGAGGGTAAGGTTGACTTAAGATGTTCAACTCCAGCTACATTTATTACGTAGCTGAAATTAACATATCTTAAATCACCATCCACACAGTGGGAGGTCAACAGGAACAGACACTTCCTTAAGCTTCCCTTACTCCTCAGCAAAGCAGGAGTACTGGCACCAACAGAGGCATCCTTTGCATTCACATTAGCGTGTCTTCACTAGACCCTCTAAATCAAACCCTAGAAGATAAACCGCAGCAACATCGATCTTCTGTGTAGTGTAGACATAGCCTGAGACAGACTTTGGGATAAGCTAATCTCTAGTATCTTAATGTGAACCTTCAATACCTAACCCTAAGTGAAATTTGAATTTCTGGTTCACTTAAAGACAGCGAAAGGGAATATTTTAAGAAGTGTTTTATTTTTTCAAAACCTACAGTTATGACAGAGACTTTGATGATGTCTGACAAATGTCAGGTGGGTTGGTCTCTCCCCGTGCCCAGGAATGTGCAATTAATTTACTTAGAAACACTATTTCACAAGTGCTTTAACACTGCTGGATTTTAAGAGCTGCATTATACAGAGTGTCCACTTACTTCCTACAATCCATACCTTTCACGCGAATTATAAAAAAGTCGGTTTAAAGGAAAAAATGCTTTCATATAACAAATGGCCTTGGGAAGAAAAGCTGTGCTGCCATAAAGAATGCAACAGAACAGATTACGCGAATAAGAATTTCTCAAATGAAATGTTTAACAAATCTAAGCCTTGCCTCTGAAGGTGGAAACAAAGTCCTTTTCCAACCAGAAATTCAGCAATTGCATTTGAAAAGCTACCCCATGAACAAAACAAAAGATACTGTTCCTGTACATAAGATTTGGCTAACAATAAAGGCTATAAGAAAGTATTTGAATTCTCTTGTGCTGGAAATACAGTTAATAATTTGGAATATCTGATCATGTGGTTGCACACCAGTTTAAAAAAAACAAATTAAAATAGATCTCCCTCAGTTTTATTTTTTTTTATTGCCAACTTAAATAAATCTGTATGTTTGAGTCTCTCCATCTCTGTGCAGCTAGGGTTTTGCAAAATAGATGGCACAGTCTTGTAATTACACTTGTGAAAATGACATCAATGTTGAACTTATCTGTTGAGAGAAATCTAACCCAAGCCTACCAAATAAGAAAAGCTACTCTGGTATTTATTCTTCAGTTTCTCCAGTATAGCTTGCCAAACTGTTAGTTCCCAAAAGTATGGCATCATAGTAGGGTGTGGTGTAGATTTTCAGAGTTTTTCCCAAGAGAAGTAACATAACACACAACAATTCTAGATGCATGTGTATGAAAAATAAATCTGCTTAGGTCCACTTTGTCTTTGGGGCATGGTCAATGTATACTTTATGGACTGGTACCCTCAAAAGTTCTAATTAATACTGAGTTTCCTACCAGAACCAGAGTTTTTATTGGTTTTACAACTTCCATTATTTGAACAGTAACATTTACCTTTGTAAAATAAACTGGTATTTCTCCAGGTGAGAAAACTGTAGAGTCTATACAGCAATAAAAGGAATGAAATGCTAGCTTACAAAGGAAAATTGGCAACCCCTGAGACTATTTTGTAGGGTATGGATAACTTACTGAGGTAAATTTGACACGTTTTAATAAGATATTTTATTTTAAAGCTCCAGGGACTTGCAAAAGAGTCAAAGAAATCCTTTTCAGAGAGATGAAGACCTACAGCAGAGAAACTAATTCTTATAAAGTGCTCTGATCCAGAATACCACAATAGCAACCAGGCTACTAACTGTAAAATTATACTGTCTGAATGCTTGTAAATTAAAATGTTAACATCTATTTAGACTAAGCATGTAGAGTTTACCAGTTCATAAACTTCTGAGATTCAATGGCATTTGAATTCATTATTAATAGTCAACATGACTTCTAAATATTTTACACTGAAGTTTTTAAAGAGCTTTAAAAGAGCTGGCCAAGAAACTTTCTGCTTTTCAGTAAGTCAGAACACTGCAGAAATTTGAGATGACTGGAAGAAAGCTAATGTTGCACTGATATACAAAAAGGGCAAGTAGGTGGACCTGAGCTATTATAGGCCTGTCAGTCTGACATATATCCTGGGCAAGATAGTGGAATGGGTGAAAAGGAACTTGATTAAAAAAAAGGAAATAATATAATTACCGCCAGTCAGCATAAGTTAATGGAAAATAGATCTCTTCAAACAGTGTTTTTGATGAGATTACAGGCTTTGCTGATAAAGGGAATAGTGCTGATGAAATATACCAGACTTCTGCAAGGCATTTGATTTGGCACGGCATAACAATGATTAAAAACTAGGAAGACATCAAATTAACATGGCATGCATGACATGGATTTAAAATGGATAGATCTTCAATTTACCAATTGTAAATGGTAAACGATCGAAAGGATCTAGTCTAGTGAGATCCCACAGGGATCAACTGCTGGAGATGGAGCCTGGGCCATGGTACTAAAAATAGCTCCACAGTCTTGGCTGCAGTCCCGGCACATGGAGCAGCTGCCAGCCATGGGGCTGTGCCCCTGGCAGCAGCTGGAGCCACAGCTGAGTGGTGGCTACTGGGGCTGGGGCCACAGTACTATTTTTAGTACTGCGATCCCAGCCCCAGCAGCCATGACTCCAGCTGCTCCTGAGTGCGGGCGGCTGCCCAGTGTTCTAGGACTTCAGTTGGGGCCTCAGTGCAGCTGCTCCTGGGCCAGGGCTGCTGTGCTAAGAATGCCCAGGTGCTGCCATCACACAGCCAGGTGGAGTGTAGGAGTCCCGAGGTGCAGCTGGGCTGCGAGAGGAGCACAGAGCTCCAGGCACGGAGTCAATGGGGAGAGCCCCTGGCAGCAGCAGGGCTGTTGTGCGAAGCGCAGAGCTCTGGGCATGGGAGTTAGGACCTCTGGAGAGAACCCCAGTCAGCAGCGGGGCCATCAGGCAGAGTGTGGAGCCCTCCCAGGCAACAGTGAGGGCACGGGGAGCAGAGTCCTGGGTGAGAGCAGAGCTGTGGGGGCTGGGGGGTAGTGGAGCCTCCCTCCCGCATGCGGAGAACAGAGCCCCAGGCAGCAGTGGACATCCAGGTGGAAATGTGCATTGACCTCCCCTGGTCTGGTAAATTCCCTGGTCTGGGACCACTCAGGTCCCAAAGGCTCCAGACCAGGAGGTTCAACCTGTATCTTATTTTTCAAGGGTGTCTTGGCAATAATTAAGGCTAGAGCTTTTTTATATTTTAAGGAAAGTTGAGGTTCTGGAACACAACATAGAGCCTCTAGGAAAAAAGCCAACTCACTGAACCACCATGATTTTAGTCATTGCTATAGAAGGTGCTTTAATTTTTAATTTAATTGTTTTGTTTAATTCGATGAGATACCAATTCACTTAACAAACCATTTGTATGAATGTGCAGTTATATAGCAAGCAAGAGTATTCTCTTGCTAGCTACATATCATTTGCCTTTGTGGGTGAAGACATGTCTTTTGTCTCTGTTACAATGTTCCCCACTAAAAAAAAAAATTAGCATTTGCCAAAAGTTACCATACGGCATGAGATGTCTATGCTACCTCAGATAACACAATGGTTATGTCTAGACTGGCAAGTTTTTCCGCAAAATCATGTGATTTTGCGGAAAAACTTGCCAGCTGTCTACACTGGCCGCTTGAATTTCCGGAAAAGCACTGACGATCTCCTTTAAAATCATCAGTGCTTTTCTGGAAATGCTATGCTGCTTCCGTTCGGGCAAAAGTCTTTTTCCGAAAGACTTTTGCGCAAAAGGGCCAGTGTAGACAGCATAGTACTGTTTTCCTCAAAAAAGCCCCGATCGTGAAAATGGCGATCGGGGCTTTTTTGTGGAAAACCGCGTCTAGATTGGCCACGGACGCTTTTCCACAAAAAGTGCTTTTGCGGAAAAGTATCCTGCCAATTTAGACGCAATTTTTCCAAAAATGCTTTTAACGGAAAACTTTTCTGTTAAAAGCATTCTCGGAAAATCATGCCAGTGTAGACGTAGCCTATGTGCTAACTGATGGCAACTGCTGAATTTTCTAGTATTTGGAAAAAAAGAGCCATTACTGGGACAATGTCAGATTGGAAGGTCTCTAGTGGGGTTCCACGGGGATTTATTCTGGTGTTGGGGGTGTTTACTATCTTTAGTAATGACCCTGGATGTAGGAATGAGAGCATATTAATCAAATTTGCAGGTAATAGAAAGCTGGCCAGGGGCAGGGTTGCAAATAATGTGAAGGATAGAATTAAAATTCAAAGGGACCTTGGTAAACTAGAGAACTGGGGTATAGATCAGAAATTCAGCAAGGACAAGTGTAAGGTACTACACTCAAGGAAGAAAAACCAAATGCGCAAATATAAAATTACACACACACACTGAGTGCATAGGCAACTAAAATTTTCTTAATGAATATTGATTATTTTGTATTGATTCTAAATCAATATGCAGTTGATGATGCCATATTAAAGGGACTTCTCTATGATTCACAGGGGGTCTAAGGCATGCAGATACTATAAGAAATATAATCAATAATTAGATTATGTGCTATGTACTGTGTAGTCATGTGAACTGAAGAAAACGAACTAGCTGAAATTTTCTGATTATATCCCTAAATTCATTTTCTGAATGTCATTAACTTGCAACTGCACGATGAGCTTTTGGAGTCCATGAAGAGGAATGATGCAGCCATTTTTTTATGCTTTACAAATTACTACCCTTTTTGATTGGCTTGGGCTGGGAGGAAGGAGCAGGGGTTGGAATGAAGGGGGCACTGTGGAAGTTAGGGGCCAAGGGTGTACAATGCAGGGTTAACGGCAAAGGTGCACAGGATGAGGGTGCAGATGTTGGGGAGCCCATGGATGCAGGGATGGTGGGAGTATGGCTGGATGAGAGTCAGACCAGGTGCCAGGGTAGGTGGTTTTCAGGGTGAGTGAGTCCAGGGTCCTGCGCCTTGTTAATTATCCTTGTTTTAGTATTTTTTCTTCCATAACAATC